ACCCTTATTTTCATTTCCAAGAACTACCATAGACCGCATACAAGGCGACATGGACTGAGATTATGGTAACTGCATATTGCTTTAGCTTGTCATTTATTAATAATTAGTAATTGATAGTAAATTATGCTTACTAAATGTGTATGTAAATCTACAGGACTACTTCTGCCTTGAGGACTTTGAGGGGGCTTGGAATTATGTGTTTAATGTTAAGGTTGAAGCGGTCCTCAAACAATGGAGGCATGAGATCAAACATGAAACTTATGACAGATATGAGGAGGACTGGCAGAGGTTTTTGAACCTCGATGACCGAGTTGACGAGATTCATTTCACGGCTCTCCTCATGTATTGAGACAGCGATGCCGCCATGGTTAGTTTCATGAAAATTACTTTATAATTTTAAGATATTATTTCATTGCGTATTTACTAAATTTTTTTCACAATAAATCCACGAATGGGTCAGAAAATAGAAGAAAGAAGCTGCATGACCACCACTTGAGCTCACACTCCTATGCCAATCTGGAGATTGTTTATTGTCAGGATACGGTATATGTCATTTAAAGCTTTAAATGATCTTAATGCTTAGTATGATTATGAAATCTCATAATTTATAATATAACAAGGAAAATCATTAATGTTGATACACTTGAGGGCATAAGCGGCGTATGGTACTTTTCATTATAGATATAGAGGTGATGAGAAGAATCGGGATAAGATCAAGGCAAATCTCGAGTTGGTGGTGAGACTTGTACATATCTTGAGTAGTAGTATTAACTCTATTTCATTGTTAATATTACGAGGAAATGAGAACACAAATAATATGGTCTTTACCTTAAATTAAGTATATATTTGTGCTTTAGGAGGGATTTGAGACTGCATCCAAGGAGGCTGCATCTGTGTACATTTTGCAGGAGGAGGAACAAACCGAGCCGAACCCTCGCATGCTTTCTGCAGAGGAGAACATCACTCTCACACAGAACCTAATGGGTCATAATAGGTATGGATGGTAAAAAATCGAATCGATTTGAATACTACGTTCCTATTTATATTTGTTTAACTTTATTGAATCAATATTTATTTCTCCCTAATAATAGGAGAGGAAGATCTCATCTGCATGGTGTTGGAGCTTCACCTGGCATAAGCATGAGATCATCCACAGTATCCTCCACGCCATCTACATCAATGAGAGTAGTCCCAAGCAGTTTCCAAGCTATGTCATTTGTCGCACATATCTCTGTGTATTTGATTGACAAGATTGACCTGGAGCTACATATTCAGGTGACTAATGAGATGACTAGAGTTGCGCTGACGACGAACTCGATGGACGATCTCATGGGACATGTTATACAATATTTATACGTTGTGATTTCTTATAGCACGTATGATGGTATCATACGGATCATAAGCTCGACTGGCGATAATTTTGACGCTAGACAGAGCAGCGCTCAGGTACCTTATTTTTTCTTATATTTATAAATTTATTTTTTTAATATGTTATCAAACATCACATAATGATTATTCAATTGAACATTCAGAGTAGAGATATTGGAGGGATCAGCAGCCGTTCTCGTAACTGGGATAGAGATACTGCCGACAACGATGATAGATGAGGTTTTTTTATTTTTAATGCAATAAACAGATTTATTTGTTATAACACTACATTTATTCATGTAGTGTATCCTATCTTATTCATGTACATTGTTAGTATATATGTTGTTGGATGTATATATTAGATGGAATTGGTTGATGTATATTTTGGATTGGATGGTTGGATTTGTGCATTGTGTTGGATTTGATTATATTTGGTTTTGAATGGAATTGTTATGAATTTTGTTTATATTTGGATGGTTGGATGTATTCATGTGTACAGTATTTATTGGATGTATTTATGTATTAATGTAATTGTACAGGGAAATACAAAGTGCAAATAATTTTTTTTGCTGAAAAAATATCAACCTAGACGGAATTCCTCTAGGATGAGTCAAACTACACGGAATTCCGTCTAGGTTGTCATAATCAACCTAAACGGAATTCCGTCTAGGTTGGTAACCTAGACGGATTTCTTACTTCCGTCTAGGTTGATATCCGTCTAGGTTGGTCAACCTAGATGGAATTCCGTCTAGTTTGCCCCAACCTAGACCGAATCAGACTAGACGGAACAAACTACATGGAATTCCGTCTAGGTGTACCAACCTAGACAGGAAATTGAGCAACCGAGACGGAAATTTCCGTCTAGGTTGCTCGTTTTTCTACTAGTGAAAGGTAAGCTAATAATACCTCCTCTATGAGAAGTAATCTGTTGTTGACCAATAACATAATATTTTTTGTATCTACCAAATGTAATTCAATAATAAACGATTGTTAAATTATAATTAATGATAAATATTTATGACAAATAAAAATACATTGGTAAACAGTGGACATAATAATACCTTCATTGATAGAGGTAATATTATGATGTTCACTATCACTAACGTTATTATAGTTTGCAACCATTTAATAAAAAGATGTATTAGATTCTTAACTCCAAATTTAATTTTATAAAAAAATTGAGCAGAAAACAATACATATAAACATACCCTCGTGAAAAGAATTGATATGCTGAAAATTTTAAGCATCGCCACTTACATTCTCTACACAATTGAGAAAAATAAAATGAGAGATTAAAAATATTTTTTATTAGTTAATAGTAATCATAATTGATACATGTATGCCTAGAAGTTAAATTAAAATCTTTAGAAATAATTTATTATTTCCTTACCAGTCTAGAAATCTAAATTAATCTAAAATTTCCAGATTAATTCAGCATTAGATCAGTCCAAATTTTTAGATTAATCTAGAACTTTCAGATTAGTCCAAAATTTTCAAATTAATTCAAAATTTTTAAATCAATATATCCACAATTTTTAAATTAGTTCAGATTTTTTAGATTAGTGTAGAATTTCTAGACCAGTCCAGAACTTTTAAATGAGTGCAGAACTTCCAAATTAGTCTAGAAATTTAAAGTAGTCTAGAACTTTTAAATCAATGCAGTATTTTTTAGATGAATGCGGAATTTTTAGATCAGTCCAAAATAAACAAATGACTCAAGAGAATTTGTAAATTTTTTTAATTTGTTTGTAAATTTCAAAACAATATAGAATTTTTAAAACTTTTAAAACATCATACAGTTTTTAAATCAAGCAAAATTTTTTGGTTTTTTGAAGGTCCATAATTTTAAATCTTTTAAAACATTATAAATCATATTAGGGTGATCGTCTTGCAAATGGATGCCCTTATTACACTCGTAGTGTCTGAAGGATGAGAACCAATTGTGTAGCATATACATCAATAATTCAAGTACTATAAACCTTAATTGAGAAAACTGAAAAGAGAGATTAAAAATACTTTTTTCATTACTTAATAACATTTATAATTCATACCTGCATTTTTAGGTAGCCTTGTTGATTGTCACCGTTGGGAAAAATGGTATGGCTACGACAAAATATTACAATAAAGTTAATGAGAAATAATATAAAATGATGACATAAGATATTTATGACTTTCACATTTTAGATAATAAAATGTTTAAAGGTTCAATAGCTTCATGAAATGCTGAATTTATATGGACAGAAGTATGGCTTCCTGGTGTCTTCGTCATATTTATGATAGAAATATGGAGAAACCCTCAATCTTTTTGGCTTCACAATCAGATTGAGAGTCACCAATCTGATTATTTTCACATGAAGAGAAGGCACTTGATAGGTTAACAACATAACTTGATATGTCTTCCAAGTATCGTCTATTCATCGTAGAACTTCTGATGGAACTAAAAACATTTCATGAACTTGTTCCCATATTTTCTATCTTCAATTCTAGTAGAATTGTAGTCGCAGTTGTAACTCAAAAGAACTTTCATGTATGTTATTTTTGGAATTATTTGTTATAGGAGCTACAATAGATAAGCCGACAACAGTTTCATCATGACTAACTATTTTTACTTCGAAAAAGCAAATTATATTATAGCAATGATCAACACAAAAAGTCAATAAATTTAATAATACAAAAACTAAAATTTATAACTTCAGTTGCTTACCGTGTTTGCCACCGTTAGCCTCCACAAGTCTTCGCAACATTTTCATTTTTCTCTTGAACCTTACTTCTTTCTTAATCATTTGATCAATTTCACTTCCATTGATATCAATAGAACTACCTTCAACACTCATATTTGCTTTCTAACTTATATCTCAAATAATTCTAGCAACGATTCTAACAATAGGTGACGACAAGGTCCGCTCCCTATTCGTGAATATGAATTGTTTGGTATTCACTTTTTTATACTCCTTCAATACCCAGATCATACTAGGTTTTCTTTAATGGAATGAGCAAGGCACCTTGCCCTGTTTTTATCGTAAAAAAAAAAGTATAAGGATGCACAAATATTACAAAATGTTCTTTACGCTTGCAGTTCTGACTCCAGGATCTGTGGATGCTATCAAAACAAGGAACGCCTTTAAAATGAAATGATAAAACTTGCCCTGTTGCTTACCTGAACATCTAAGTTTTAACTCCAAATGATTTTCTGATGGTGATATAAAAGTAGAGCACAATTTAGGGTGTGAATCTTGACTTAATCTCTTAACTAATCACACTCAGACGGTCTTAGCTTTGAATGGGAGCTGAGAAAACACCTCCTCAGACACATGAAGCCTGTCATCCTCAAGATCACTTGTAACTGTCACGGGATAACTTAGCTGATGAAGGTCAACAGAATTAGCTATTTAAGAAAACTGTTAGTAAGAGTCCGACTTATTTTACATAGAATGCTATACATTAACTCAAGATATGCTTCTCTCAGAAAGAACTTGTTCAACTGTAACTCGTAATCTTACGAGTAATGATAGATTTATGTATCGATGTCATGGTGTAAATCTCATTACTTTTTTTTGTTGTTCAGATTAAGGACATATATTCATCCCAAATTTAAACAAGAATAAAGCCTAAAATTGACGAGTTGAATCATCTAATTGCAACCATCAAAGCAAGCTCCCATTATTATTATTTTTCATTCTTCAGAGTAAAGACCCGTTCATCCAAAATTCAAACAACAATAACAAAGCTTAAAACTGACACGGGTTCGGTCATCTGATTGCAACCATCAAAGCAAATTCTATTCACAAGGAGCATATATGAACAAAGCGCTTACAACACAAGGACTACGTTGAGGAATGATTGTAGCTTAGAAAATGATCCCAGATCAATTTGACCGCATCTTGAACCATCTCCCTGCCCATCTCTATGTTCCCTTCCTGCAATGGATGAAGAAAACTACTTGTTAAACAGATGCTCAAAACAAGGGAATACATGTAAAACAATTTCTAAACCATCTAGATTAGGGTAGTGGATGCATATCGGTTAAAACTTTTTCTAGAAAACAAAGAAAATTGACTGCAAAAAGAATATATGATCACAACATAGAGTAACCACTAATGACAATAACATTTCACCAGTAAAGATGGTAGTCTAAGACAACACAAACAGCATATATGCAAAATCATATAACAACAAAGGCTTTACCCCTTTTTTTGGGTCAGGTGCATGAATCCCTTTCTCTCCTTCAGTTCTGCTAAGGACATCTCCTTTGTTAAGTATTACCATATCGTTTTTAATTGTTTTCGATCAAATTCTCCTAGACCTGTTTCTAGACTTTCTTGCACTGATAACTATAACCTTATCACATCTTCCCGAAAGTTATTTACTATCCTCATTGGACAAGGTCAAACCATCTCAATTAATCCTCTTTCATTTTATCTTCAGTAGAAGTAAATCAAACTTCCTACGAATGCAGTCATTTCTCATATTATATCTTAGTATGCATCCACATGTCCATCGTAACTTTCTCATATCTGTTATCGTGTATGAAAAACCATAGTTGTTAAATCCGACTCTCCCCTACTTTGCTCTGCTAACAGCATGCATGTAAATTATAGGCCCACTAGGCCAATCATATACCCCATGTCTGCACCTCAATAAGAGAAGTGAGTGTGTATTCCTTTCCTTTTGTTTTTTTTCTTTTCTTTTGTTCTTTCCTTGTTTTTTTTTCAGGGTTATATTTTTGTCTTTCTTTTTGAAGGGGAGATACTAAAATACACATCAATAAGGAAATTTGAATCATACTTGTCATTTCAATTGCTAATCCAGAATCCAAAAGTACAAAACTGCAATTGGTAAATAACCAAAGAAAAACAATATCACCGCGGTTATAAAATCAGCATGAATGTCCAATAAATGTGTATTGTGCTTTGAAGAAAAAGATAAGTCCCTGTAAAAGGATTGACAAAACATTACATCAACTTAGTTGACATTGGCATTATGACCAATGTCGAATTGGCATGTAGTTAGCAAGTGGGGACCGAAAATTCTCCCGAACAAAGGGAGATGACAAAGCTTGCTATAGTTAATAATGGAAGTTTTCAAGGATTTTAGAGCAACTAACGGCTTAGAAGAGGCGACAAGTGTGCTGAATATCTCGCCAATGAGGGTGTAACAGCAAATATTGATGTTTCTGAGGTGTTTTTGAGAAGGCGTAATCGTAAAGGACATATATCAGCTAAAAACAAAAAAGCTTGCTATACAGAAGCTGCATTTTTTTTCAAAATACGTCTCTTTAGCCAAAAAATGAAAATTTAATCCGCATTTAGTACATAACTAGTGAAAAAAAAGTGGTCTTAAAAAGAGCAAGTGCTGACCACATGAGTAGCAGGAATGAGCAATATCTGTTATTTTCATCTAAACTTCTGATTGCAAGCCAACTCACCTTCACGTGCTTGGATATTTCAGTCAGTTTCAATGCAACTTCACTAGAAACTTCACCTGTTGAAGTCCTGTGATCAAATCGATCAGCATATCTCAGCTTAATCTTCATTGACTGATTTTTGAAAACTTTGAATTTGGTGTACCAGGCTCCAACTACGCTAAACCTATCTGCTACATGTTCCTCACCAAGAGGCCATCTCAGTCCCCCTCTCACATCTGGATCTATTATAGCAGACTTTAGTAGCTTGTTTATGCCTTCATTCTCTTCATCCTGAAACAAATTAGTTAGCTCTCAGGCATTACTTTTTAATAAACATCAGGTCAGTAAGAATTTCAGCCCATACAATCATAAACTTACATCCAAGGATTTAATTCTCCTTTTTGTAACTAGCATCAACCTTAAGTCTAGATCCTTGTAGAGGCAAGATATGTCAGCCACAAAGTGACGCACATTATTCAGTTCAATCTGCAAAATAAGAAAGAAACCACATGCTACCAATAAAATGACAAGTTTACTCTTCTTCAGTCCGAATCTCAAGTAGAGATAACTATATAACGAAAGAAGGCAAAAAGAATGAATTGTTGAACCATGATTTTAGGTAATCCAAGTAGATGAGGCAGAGGGAAATGAACTTGTGCCCAGCAAGGTTGAGCTAAGATCTTGGTAATAAACTAGTCATGTACGGGGAACCAAATGACAAATATTCATTTCTCAAAGGAGTTGCTACTAATCAAGAGAGGGGAAAAGAAGCAAGGAAGATTTCTCAGTGAAAACTTATCATTCCACGAAGTTTCCACTTAAAGTTCGTTTTAAATGTATATCGAATAGTCCTCAGAACAATAAGCAGATAATATTAAGATATAGAAAATATGATTCCATTAAATGTGAATGAGGAGTCTTCCTATCTATCATGAGAGAAATCACAAAAGAAATGGTGGCTCCAGTTCATGCGATCAACACATGCCTATAAAACTAAAGTCAATTAAGCATGATGTCAGCAATGAAAACCATCCTTTGATTCCTTTACTACATAGGAAACCCATTAGTCCACACCCATTAACTAGGATTTCAGGGAAAAAGAGAGAATACATTGGAAGTAGGTGGCAAATATAAAATATAATCTTCAAAAAAGTAAAGCAGTCCATGAGCCATAAAGACTTGCAAAATTTTTCAATGAGGCTTGCTATACAAATTGTCAAGAAAAGTTCAGGTGATTGCTGAATCTAATATCTATAAGCACTCAAGTAGCAAAGGTTGAAAAAAAAAGAAAGAAAGTGTAACTGTGTAAGTGAAGCGCTTGACACAAGCAAAAACAAAGTGTACATTGTGAAGTGAAAACCATAAGCTGCAAAGGAAAACTAGCCCTAAGCTGCAAAAGGGAAAAAGTAGAAGATGCAAGAAGTTTCATGTCACTATTTTGCATCTAATTCACATGATAAAATAGGAAGGGATTTAAGCAATGGAACCTAATGCAGTGATTGGGAAAAGGGGGAAAAACCAGATGCTTCAATATGAACAATAATTGAAGTGAAATTGCCAACACTCCAATGAGACAGATACAGTACAAAAGACTGAAAGACTATGAGGAAATATCTATCATGAAGCCTACACTTCAGTACAAGGTACAAAAGAATAGACTTTCTTACAAAACAGCATAAGCTGCATATAGTAGCACAAACTTCACAAATTAAAGCTTTAAGGATAATTCTATTGGTACGCTTCCAAACAAATAGAATTGAAGCTTCATAGAAAGTTGCTAGAGTGCAAAATTATAACCCTCAACACAACTTCGGACGTTTGGTGTAGTATCAGGGACCTTTGACATGGTCTCGTAGCAACAAACAATAAAACCCCATCGGCAATGAATTTAAAGCGGATTTCAAAAAAAAAATTAAAAAGATGCTGATTGTGCGAGTCCAAGTTTTTTCTTTTTGGGGGGTGGGGGGTGGTATTAAGTAAGAGTCTACCAATATATTGTTCAACACTTGCAACAACTTCGGACTTATGGTGCAGTGGCAGGGACTTTGATAAAAAGTTTCAAGAAATATTGCACCAAAACATTATGCCTGAGGAAAAATTCATACTGCAGCTTTCAATACTGCTCCCTTTATCCATTACGCCATACTATGGGCCATTACATCAGTTCCATTACAGCCATTATATCATTTTGTACAGCTTTGGTCATCATGAATTACTGTCTTATACTTAATGCCGGTGAATACTCATATGAAAGAGGAGCTTTAATTTGTGCGGGAAAGTTCATAAACTGGCAAGTGACGTGATATAAGAATAGCATAAAACAATAGAAGGGCAGAGATATTGCCTTACGGATTTCAAGCGCCCCACTATCATTTAGAACACACTTGCACATAGTAATTGATTCCGGCTGGAATTTATCAAATACCTGACCAACAAATAAGAACATAAATCTCCAATACAGGTTAACCAAAATACTAAGGAACATTCCGCATCTCGTACCAAGCTGTTAAATAGAAACATGTAATGAAAGTAAGCCCGTTCATAGAGTACCTTCACTGTGTAATCGTCTTTCTCATAGTCGAAATCAAATCCAATGACATTTGCAACCAAATGTGCGGTATCTTCCATGTATGCACAAGGAACATTTGTGTAAAATGATTTGTGGATTTGTTTTCTAGAATCTATTTCAGCTGCTGCAGCCTTCCTGACGTTTTCAAGACCAACTGAATTTCTGCAGGGTATAGACAGATCAGGCTGAAGTACATAAACAATGCATCCAGAAATATCTACATAGATTTTATAACACACACTATTTTAAAAAAATATATCCTTTAAGCTACAGTGAACTACAATTCAGGAGAAAAATACTTCTTCATGCATGCACCTCCAAGTGGCATATTTTATAAAAAGATCCTTATATAAAGCGATAGACACCTAGGATGTAACTAAGTTGCACACACACATACATATATGTATACATATGTGTATACATATACATATGTGTGTATACATACACACACATAGATATATGTATACACACATATATGATATATGTATACATATATTATATATATACATGCACCCACATATTTAGGTAGGCTTACAATACACCTAGGATTTAACTAAGTTGCACACATCTGTGAAAATATATCTTTGCCCATCTATTTTATAAATGCAAACCATTCATTGTAATCTATGTGTCCTCAAATGTATGTGGACCAAAATCCTGTGATTTGGAGTTTTCTATCCTGTAAATCAAACAACTCAAAGTAAACGACATTTTGGACCATTACAGAGCATTCATATCTAGGTTATTGGATGTATAAACTAGAAATATCATATATGTGATTTTTTATCTCTAAGAAGTTTTGAATTCGTAGATCATAATAAACGGTGTGGATCATTAACATACATGACATACATGGTCAAACATGTATTGTCACAGGTGTGTAACTAACATAGCCTAGGTGTATTGTAACCCTACCTCATACACACATATAGGTTGGGAGAACATGCATTACGCCTTGTCAAATAATTTGATTACTTCATTTAGATTCATGTCTTATTTTATTTTATTTTATTTTATTAATTATGTCTTCACTATATTTCATTTGTGAAATAGTTCATGGTTACCTTATAAATTATTTTATGAAATAAGATCATGTTTTTATACCTCTACTCGATGATGATAGCATGATGATAATATTTTGTAGACTAATATCAAACTTAATAATGCATTAAATTTAGTTATGCCTTACAAATCTAGATCTTTGATCTAATAGACATCAAAAATTCCAACTTGTAATTATAGAATTTAAATCTAGTAGACATCAAAGAACCTTTATGCTATATAGCAAATGGATAACGACTAATGCGATGTGAAACCAATATTAAATTCATACTTGACAAAATTCACATAAGACCAACAAGGAAGATTAGTTAAATGATCCAAAGCATCATTTAAAAATAATAAAACTTATATATCAATATGTTATTAATTGCTAATGATAAAGCCAATATGATTTTCAATATGGGTAAAACACTTCTAACTAAAAACTAACTTCCCCCAAAACTGCTAAATCACACTCTTTATGCTAAATGACAACAACATTATTTAGAAAAAGAGATATATACCCTACAAAACATAAGGTATTATAGCATCGACTTCTCTAGGGAAGTTTTTAAATTTTGGGAGATACCATTTCCTTGCAGCAAAAATCTTGCGGGTCAAATACAAAGCAGTGTCCAAAGAAAAAAGCAAGTGCATATACAGTTTATGCAATGAGAGTAATTCCATAAGAATCTTTGACCTCAAAGAGATAGCTTAGACATATAATTCACCCAACAAAACCTCCCCTTGGAATCTTGTAGCATTTGTTATCCATTGCTCAAATAAAAAGAAGTTTAAAGGGGGTCTTGTTTAAAAAATTTCAAAAGTCTTTTTTTTAATTATATTAGGTTCGTGTTTGGGATCAATGAATTGTTAGAATTTGAAATTTTGTAATTAATCTTGATCCATTATTTGGATGTCTTTAGAATTTCAACTATAGAATTTTTCAACTCCAAAAATTATTGTGATACTTTTGGATTTTAAGGTGACTTTTTGGATTTTTTGGTTTGTCTTGAAGCTTGCTTGCAATTCGATTTTTAAGGAGTTGTTTATAATTTTTATTTTCCAACGGGTTATTTGTAATTTTTAATATTTTCATAGGGGTTTTCCTAATTTTTAAACTTTTTAGGAGGCTTTGTAATTTCAGATTGGGGCGAAATAAAAATTTTAGATCTTTTGTTTTTTGGTAAATTTTTACTTTTGGCATGTTTTCTTTTTGGTATTTTTAAAGACTTTTAGACGTTTTTGTAACTTTTAAATATTTAGTGGTTCTTTGTAGTTTTAGATTGTTTAAAAGATTGATCGAAGATTTTAGATTTTCAGAGTGTTTTTATTTATTTATTTTTTTGGGGTATTTTCTATGACTTAAGATTTTTGGAAGTCTGTTAGTAATTTTTAAATTTTAGACTATTGTACATAATTACAGATTGTTTATGGAACTATTAAAATTTTTTGATTTTTCAATGTGTTTGGTTGTAATTTTTTGATTTTTGAGGTGTTTTTTATCATTTTTTTATTTCTCAAGAGGTTTTTTGTAATTTCTAAATTTTTAGGGTATTGTATATTATTTCAAGTTGTTTAGGATACTATTCAAAAATCTCATATTTTTGGGTGTTTTCATAATTTTCTAGATCTTCAATGTAAAGGCTGTTTGTAATTTTCAAATTTCATGGTTCTTCCTATAATTCCATACTATTCATGAAGTCTTTTGAAAATTTGATATTTTTAGGGTTTTGTGTAACTATGTATGTAAACTTTTATTTATTATCATATAATAAATTTATTAGCTTTGTAGAACATACATCTTTCTGTCTCCCGCTTAAAGTCAATCCAATATAAATTTCAAAACCATCTTGTCAATATGTTTCTCAAACACCTTTGGACTCAAGGGTTTAGTCAATGAGTTTGTCATATTCTCGGCAAAAACAAGTTTGGTAATGTGTATGTCTCCCCTCTTGACCATTTCTCTTGCCAAGTGATGCTTTCTTTTTACGTGCTTTTATCTATGATGAGACCTAGGCTCTCTATCTTGTGCAATTACTCCACATTTATCACAATGCAAAATGATCTGACATTTCATATAAGGAACAATACCTAACTCTTACACGAATTTTTTAATCCAAACTGCTTCTTTTGCAACTTCACAATCTATAATATACTTTGCTTCAGTTGTAGAATTAGCCATAGTTTCTTGCATATAACTTCTTCAACTAATAACTTTATTATTTAATGCAAAGACAAACTCCGATGTAGATTTTCTATCATCAGGATCCAACTAAAAATCAGAATTAATGTATCCTTCAACTTTTAAAGGATCAACACCAAACACTAAACAATAATGTATTGTCCAGTTAAGATATTTAAGAATATGATTAACTACAATCCAACGTTTCTCTCTAGGATTGGACTAATATCTACTAACTCCATAGGGTTCTTAAGCAATAGCTAGCGTAGTACACAATTTTGCATACATAAGTTTACCTACAATAGAAGCATATGAGCATTGTTTCATTCGTTCTAACTACTTATCTGTATGAGGTAATATTTTCTTAGAAAGAGCAAACCCCTCCTTATCCAAAAGGACTTGAGTTCTTCATCGTCGTCAGAGCAGGACTTGTCGTCGAGGCGCTGAAATTGCTTCGTCGAGGCTCTGATTTCGTGGTCGAGGAGTTGAGTTCGTCGTCGAAGAGCAGGATTCGTCATCGAGGAATGGGTTCGTCGCTTCAGTCGATAGGTTCGAAGGTGGTAAAGGCAGAATCGCTTCAGATGTAAGGGTTTTTCCAGTGGGCTTGGGCTATCAGGCTCAAATAGTGCCCGATTGGTCCTCGTTTTAAATTTCAGCGTTGTTTTTTTTTCCTCACGAGCCGTGTCCCTGCTGTTTGGGTGCGGATCCGCACCCAAAACGTACCCGACACGGGTACGTGGCCAAAAATGAGGTGTCAGGGTATCATAGACTGTATATAAGAGAATCTCCACATATCAATGATATCCATTATTCTCTCGCGCATCACTTGGCTGAGATCATGTCCAATTGAGGTGGCGACTTGTTATGTCAAATGAATTACCAAAAGAATGAAAGATAAAGGATGACAAAATTCATCCATCCAAGGGGACTACCAAGGTTGAACCTCACCATAATGCATATCTGTTGGATAGGGTTCCAAACGCCAGACGAGGTCATGTAGGACAAAAATGTTTCTTATTGAATGACAGCTTAATAAATATAGGGGTGTCACATTGGATAATGTGTATAAAGCATAGATGTTCATACTTGATGCGCTAATAAATGGAGGTGTGGAGAAAGGGATATTTTTTTGTAAAACTTTAAGAAAAGAATTTTGGTCTCAATTGACCCTAATTCTTCTTACTAGTTATTTACATAAGCGTGTATTTTTTTGGCTTTAAACCTCAATTTAACATAAATATAGATTATTTTTAAAAATAAGTAGAAGTCCAAATCAGCATTGCAATATTTCAGCCAATTTTTTTTGAGCTTGTAATGTCACCTTATGTATTGGTATAATCATGATATATCACTCAAATTTTGCCAAAAGTAATAAAGGTAATGGGGAGACCCAATCCCGGTACCGAGCAAGCCTTATCCGCGCCGCCCCTCCGTATCGGCGAATTTAAAAAGCAATGCTGCTGCGTAAGCTTATTCAGCAAATTGATATTCCGACCGTACCCATGTAATTTCCATGCCCCCGGCACCGATGCACCTGTCACTGAAAATCTGTGACTAAGTACTTCCGCTAATATATATAGGGTACGCGTCATGATGCAGTCAGCTAGGTATATAGTAGTAGCCATTAATATATGAGCTCATACTACAGGTATAGGTATAGGTACTAGTAGCCTATACTAGTGAGTACTACTACAACTAAATATATATAGTATATACCTACTAGTTAATACTAGATAAAGAGAGAGAGAATATATGAGTAAGCTTGTACCAAGCATAAATTTTTGTGCCTCTGTAGTTGATGTGTCACATCCTCACATCCATCGCTCATTACCCCATGTAAGATGTGGTCCCAAACATTTGAAATGAGTAGGAGGGGAGATGTGAAACCTCACTACCACCGCACGACTTTTTGTGCTGATACCAACATAGCC